CGTTCTCAGATGCTGCTGCGTACAGTCCTGGTCCGTGACTGTTAACAACTCCATGGATTTGTGGTATGCGATTTCCCAGGTTTTGCATGTGGTGTTCCATCTGTAAGGGATTACTGTGCGCCGTTTGGGATTGGTGCGGGCATCGAGTCTGCCCGCTGCCTCTATTTCTTTGTTGTACCCAATGACAATGTCTTTGAGGTTTAGACAGTTCTCATCCAATTCCCTGTTATGGTCCCGTAAGGCATTGGCCTGTGCTTCGAGAATGGCAGCTTGTCTGTTGAGCTCGTCWACAGTTTCTAAGTCCTTTGTGGTCTGATTTGTTTGTTCTTTTGCCTTTGAGTTGCTTGCCATGTTTCTTTGCCTTTTGGCCCTCTTTCCTTCGTTTTTCTCTTCGTAGTTTTTGGGTCATGTGAACTGCTGTCCATAACTGCTTAGATCCACCTTGATCTTGTCCTTTTCCACCTTCGTTTTCAAACTGTATCGTGTTGCATAGAATCTGTTGATCTCCCTTTCTTTCTCTAGCACTTCAAACCTGTTTTCGGTGTTTGTGTCGTTGGCCATTGTCGTCACTGCTCTGAGATTTCGGAGGTGTTTGTGATGTGTCAATCTTACTTCGAATTCCACTGATCTTGCCCTCTCCAGTGACCTGGCGTACTGCTGTACGTATTCAAGGGACTCCTCGTCTTYCTCCTCCATCTTCTTGTCATCCTCCTTCAACTCGTCCTCAGATTCGTTGTCGTCCTCCTCAGCCTGCTCCCCCCCTTCTTCCTTGGAGGACTGAGTTGCATTTGACGCTGCTCTATCCCTTTTCTTACCTCTTCCTGAGGTTAGAGAACAGTCCATGTCCTCTTCCCCTCCTTCCTGGCCAGCTGTCTTGTCCCGAGAAGAGGAATCTTCCCTCATTGATGTTGTTCCTTCATTTGGTAGAACTTTCCTGTCTCCATGCAGCTTGCTTGATTGCTTAACGTGTTCACTCCCATCCATCTCCATATCTGTTGGTAGGGCACTTGCCAGTCCCACCGATTGTTGCTTTCTTTTCCCGGTGACACTAGCCTCTATTTCTCTCTCTGATTCATCCGGTTTGCGCTTCAGGGATCCATCGATACAAAGGTTATTCTCTCCCTGGGTTTCGGAGGCTCCGGATTTGGGCGTCGAGCAAGGTGAGTCTGTTTGCGGCTCTTAGGCTGTTCTGGCCCTTCGGTTTTCTAGGTAGGCCTTCTCTGTATTTTACCCAATTTCATGCAATTCTTTCACTGATTTCAGTCTTTGTTTTCATCAAGAAGTCTTGCTTCGCAGATTACCTGTTCCTTACGGAAGCCGGTGTTCCTGTCTTCCATTTGCTTCGCTCCTACAGACCTCCATCTGTTGTCGTAGGGGGGGTWGATGTCGGGTTTGGACTTGGGTTCACCCTGTAAGACCCAAATCCACTTGGGATTTTCGAGGTTATCATCGAAAATCCAACCCCTGAACTGGGCGACGTTAATGTACCATACCCCCGGTTTGACATCACATTAGACCAACATTGATTGTCTGAGCATTATCTTTCTTCCCTTTTCGCCCATCTGCGGACAATGCATGCCAAGGTGACCCTTTTTTCTGCAGCGAAAGCAGTAAGGATTCATTTCGGTAGAGATGAAGAGTGTGCTGCGTTGGCTGTTCTTCCAGGAAAATCCATGTGTTTGGGAGATCGGGAGTCGTTCCTCAGGATACCTCGAGACATGCCACCCTCGAGTCATGGTTAGGTGCCATGAAGTCAGGGTTGGCTGGTAGCCAGTCTATGATGGGATTGTTGGGAAATTCCTCCTGGAACCTTTTCTGTACGAAGTTGTGCATTCCTTCGGACAGGTTATCGAATTGCTCCCAAAAGTGGTTCCAGAGCATCGTCTGCCTGTGTCTGGAGGCTTCTGCCTGCGGTTCTCTCGGTGGTTTCCGTCTCTTGATTGTGACCACTTAACCTTTGTGGTAGGAGACATCCGGTTTGTGCCAGGTACCACTTAACCCAGGAAGATAAGGAACTGGGCATAGATCAACGCACAAAATCATGATTGTGTACCTACCTCTTTTGTGGTAGGAGACATCCGGTTCTGTGCCAGGTACGTTCTCCATTTCCCTGAGCTTGTCCATCACCCATTTCCTCTTTTCATTGAGTGGTAAATCCTTGTTTTTATTCGTGAAATCGAAGAGCACGGCATGCTTTTCGTAAACCTCATTCAGAGATTGTAGATCTTGTTTAGGATACTCCCACACTTCGACCTCGACTTCCTGGCCATTTCCATCCTTGATTGTTTCTTTTGTTTTGATTATCTCCGCCTTAATCTCAGTCTTGATCATCARAAAATCCAATGCCCTTTGACCAGAGGGTTTGTATGTTGTGGCGGTCCATTATGTTCCCTGGGAAGAAGAGTGGGTTGAATTCGTTGGACTCTGGACAGGCGAATCCTTAGAGCTTGCACTGGAATCCGCTTGTGCTTGATCTTGTTGCATCAGCGCCCTCTTGGCCGCTTGGAGGTAAGGTGACGCCATCCTCCCGCAATTCTTCTACGGGAGTGCAAGTGCCGACCCCAGAAAAATTGCCAGCGTTTACCCTCCCCTCTTGGGGGTCGAGATATGCAGGGGCGGAGATGGAGTTCGAAGATAAATAATGAAAATGTATAAATAAATGGTTAAAATAACGAAATGGGTAGCGAGTAAAAGAATAAATAATTGATAGAGCTCAACAGTAAATAATTAAATGAATAAATGATTGATTAAAGTAAAAACTGAGTAATAAGTAAAAGAATCGCTAATTAGTATCGACGGTGCCGAAAGCGAAAGCACAACTAAATAGTTGCAACTGTGCCAAAAGTACAATTATTGGCGCATGTGGAGAGTGAGGTGTGTATGGTAGATGTTACGRCGAGTTGCTTGTTTYGTTTCGTTTCWCTTCGTTTGTTTRTGCGTTTGTGTTTGAATTGTCTCCCCCWTCCTTTGTTGGCGTTATCGGTGACCTAGCACTCGTGAAGAATGGCTGTGTAGAAGGGAGGGGTTTTAGGGAA